TGTGTCAGTCTATAAGTGTTTCTGTGTCAGTCTACATTTGTTTCTGTGTCAGTCTATATGTGTTTTTGTGTTATTCTATAAGTGTTTCTGTGTCAGTCTTAATGTGTTTCTGTGTCAGTCTACATGTGTTTCTCTGTCAGTCTATATGTGTTACTGTGTCAGTCTATATGTGTTTCTGTGTCAGTCTATATGTGTTTCAATGTCAGTCTATATGTGTTTCTGTGTCAGTCTATATGTGTTTCTGTGTCAGTCTGTATGTGTTTCTGTGTCAGTCTATAAGTGTTTCTGTGTCAGTCTATATGTGTTTCTGTGTCAGTCTATAAGTGTTTCTGTGTCAGTCTTAATGTGTTTCTGTGTCAGTCTACATGTGTTTCTCTGTCAGTCTATATGTGTTTCTGTGTCAGTCTGTATGTGTTTCTGTGTCAGTCTATATGTGTTTCTGTGTCAGTCTATAAGTGTTTCTGTGTCAGTCTACATTCGTTTCTGTGTCAGTCTATATGTGTTTTTGTGTCAGTCTATAAGTGTTTCTGTGTCAGTCTATATGTGTTTCTGTGTCAGTCTATGTGTGTTTCTGTGTCAGTCTATATGTGTTTATGTGTCGGTCTATATGTGTTTCTGTGTCAGTCTATATGTGTTTCTGTGTCAGTCTATATGTGTTTCTGTGTCAGTCTATATGTGTTTTTGTGTCAGTCTATAAGTGTTTTTTGTCAGTCTATGAGTGTCTTTGTCAGTCTATGTGTTGTTTTGTCTGTGTGTGTGTTTCCGTGTCGGTCTTTGAGTGTTTCTGTGTCAGTCTATGTGTTTCATTGTCAGTCTGTGTTTCAGTGTCAGTCTATGTGTGTTTCTTTATCAGTCTGTATTTCTGTATCAGTCTATATGTGTTTCTTTGTCAGTCTGTGTTTCAGTCTCAGTCTATGTGTGTTTCTTTGTCAGTCCGTGTTTCTGTGTCAGTCTATGTGTGTTTCTTTTTCAGTCTGTGTTTCTTTGTCAATCTATGTGTGTTTCGTTCTCAGTCTATGTGTATCTCTGTGTCATTCTATGCGTCTGATTATTATCATGTTGCTTGATTGTCTCAGGGCGTTCTTGAGAGTCAGGAAGTTCTATAGAACAGAGTCCGAGAAGAAAGGCTGGAGTTGGGTGGTGGACCTGTTCCTCAGCAACGAGACCAGACAGTACTACAGCGTGCCCGGGGCCAGAGGTTGGGCTGCCGTCAAGAAGACAACCTGGAACTCGGTAAGAATGTTATCAGGTGTGGGCCACAGGTAGATGCCGTCAGGTGTGGGCGACAGGTAGATGTTGTCAGGTGTGGGCGACAGGTAGATGCTGTCAGATGTGGGCGACAGGTAGATGTTGTCAGGTGTGGGCGACAGGTAGATGTTGTTAGGTGTGGGCGACAGGTAGATGTTGTCAGATGTGGGCGACAGGTAGATGCTGTCAGGTGTGGGCGACAGGTAGATGTTGTCAGATGTCGGCGACAGGTAGATGCTGTCAGGTGTGGGCGACAGGTAGATGCTGTCAGGTGTGGGCGACAGGTAGATGTTGTCAGATGTCGGCGACAGGTAGATGCTGTCAGGTGTGGGCGACAGGTAGATGCTGTCATGTGTGGGCGACAGGTAGACGCTGTCAGATGTCGGCGACAGGTAGATGTTGTCAGATGTCGGCGACAGGTAGATGCTGTCAGATGTGGGCGACAGGTAGATGTTGTCAGATGTCGGCGACAGGTAGATGTTGTCAGGTGTGGGCGACAGGTAGATGCTGTCAGGTGTGGGCGACAGGTAGATGCTGTCAGGTGTGGGCGACAGGTAGATGTTGTCAGATGTGGGCGACAGGTAGATGCTGTCAGATGCGGGCGACAGGTAGATGCTGTCAGATGTGGGCGACAGGTAGATGTTGTCAGATGTGGGCGACAGGTAGATGTTGTCAGATGTCGGCGACAGGCAGTTTTTGTCAGATGTGGGCGACAGGTAGATGCTGTCAGGTGTCGGCGACAGGTAGATGCTGTCATGTGTGGGCGACAGGTAGACGCTGTCAGATGTCGGCGACAGGTAGATGTTGTCAGATGTCGGCGACAGGTAGATGCTGTCAGATGTGGGCGACAGGTAGATGTTGTCAGATGTCGGCGACAGGTAGATGTTGTCAGGTGTGGGCGACAGGTAGATGCTGTCAGGTGTGGGCGACAAGTAGATGCTGTCAGGTGTGGGCGACAGGTAGATGTTGTCAGATGTGGGCGACAGGTAGATGCTGTCAGATGCGGGCGACAGGTAGATGCTGTCAGATGTGGGCGACAGGTAGATGTTGTCAGATGTGGGCGACAGGTAGATGTTGTCAGATGTCGGCGACAGGTAGTTGTTGTCAGATGTGGGCGACAGGTAGATGCTGTCAGGTGTCGGCGACAGGTAGTTGCTGTCAGGTGTGGGCGACAGGTAGATGCTGTCAGGTGTGGGCGACAGGTAGATGCTGTCAGGTGTGGGCGACAGGTAGATGTTGTCAGGTGTGGGCCACAGGTAGATGCTGTCAGGTGTGGGCCACAGGTAGATGTTGTCAGATGTGGGCGACAGGTAGATGTTGTCAGGTGTGGGCGACAGGTAGATGTTGTCAGATGTCGGCGACAGGTAGATGCTGTCAGGTGTGGGCGACAGGTAGATGCTGTCAGGTGTGGGCGACAGGTAGATGTTGTCAGGTGTGGGCGACAGGTAGATGCTAGTGGGGTCGAGGTAGGTGTGTGGTAGGGATGAGGCTGGGGTGGGGGCGTGAGCATGTGTGTTTGAGTGTATGTGTGTGTGTGTGGGTGGGGATTGGGTGGGTGGGATTTGTCAGTGCCGTTAGTCTAGTTATTGAACCATTGCTCTGTTGATGTCCCCATAGCCAGAGGGCCCCGACTCCAACCTGGAGAACCGCTGGAAGCATCCGGCGGTGCACGTCAGCTGGTACGATGCCAGGACTTTTTGCGAGTTTCACCACAAGAGGCTGCCCACAGAAGCTGAATGGGAGTACGCTGCCAAAATCGCTGTAACCAGTGAGTGGTTTGTCTGTATGGTCTGTCTGTGTGTTCTGTCTGTGTGTTCTGTCTGTGTGTTCTGTCTGTGTGTTCTGTTTGTGTGGTCTGTCTGTGTGGTCTGTCTGTGTGGTCTGTCTGTGTGGTCTGTCTGTGTGGTCTGTCTGTGTGTTCTGTCTGTGTGGTCTGTCTGTGTGTTCTGTATGTGTGTTCTGTTTGTGTGGTCTGTCTGTGTGGTCTGTCTGTGTGGTCTGTCTGTGTGGTCTGTCTGTGTGGTCTGTCTGTGTGTTCTGTCTGTGTGTTCTGTCTGTGTGGTCAGTCTGTATGGTCTGTCTGTCTGTGTTCTGTCTGTGTTTTCTGTCTGTGTGTTCTGTCTGTGTGGTAAGTCTCTGTGGTCTGTCTGTGTGTTCTGTCTGTATTGTCTGTCTGTGTGGTCTGTCTGTGTGGTTTGTCTGTGTCTTCTGTTGTGTGGTCTTTCTGTTTGGTCTGTCTGTGTGTTCTGTCTGTGTGTTCTGTCTGTGTGGTCTGTCTGTGTGTTCCGTCTGTGTGGTCTATCTGTGTGGTCTGTCTGTGTGTTCTGTTTGTGTGGTATGTCTGTGTGGTCTGTCTGTGTGGTATGTCTGTGTGGTCAGTCTGTGTGGTATGTCTGTGTGGTCTGTCTGTATGGTCTGTCTGTGTGGTTTGTCTGTGTCTTCTGTTGTGTGGTCTTTCTGTTTGGTCTGTCTGTGTGTTCTGTCTGTGTGTTCTGTCTGTGTGGTCTGTCTGTGTGTTCCGTCTGTGTGGTCTATCTGTGTGGTCTGTCTGTGTGTTCTGTCTGTGTGGTATGTCTGTGTGGTCTGTCTGTGTGGTATGTCTGTGTGGTCAGTCTGTGTGGTATGTCTGTGTGGTCTGTCTGTATGGTCTGTCTGTGTGGTCTGTCTGTATGGTCTGTCTGTATGGTCTGTCTGTGTGGTCTGTCTATGTGGTCAGTCTGTGTGGTCTGTCTGTGTGTTCCGTCTGTGTGGTCTGTCTGTGTATTCTGTCTGTGTGGTCTGTCTGTATTGTCTGTCTGTTTGATCTGTCTGTATGGTCAGTCTGTGTGGTCTGTCTGTGTTGTCTTTCTGTTTGGTCTGTTTGTGTGTTCTGTTTGTGTGGTCTGTCTGTGTGTTCCGTCTGTGTGGTCTGTCTGTGTGGTCTGTCTGTGTATTCTGTCTGTGTGGTCTGTCTGTGTATTCTGTATGTGTGGTCTGTCTGTGTGATCTGTCTGTATGGTTAGTCTGTGTGGTCTGTCTATGTCTTCTGTCTGTGTAGTTTTTCTGTTTGGTCTGTCTGTTATGTCATGTCTGTGTGGTCTGTCTGTGTGTTCTATCTGTGTGGTCTGTTTGTGTGGTCTGTCTGTGTGGTCTGACTGTGTGATCTATCTGTGTTGTCTGTCTCTGTGTTTTGTCTGTGTGGTCTGTCTATGTCTTCTGTCGGTGTGGTCTGTATGTGTGGTCTGTCTGTGTGGTCAGTCTGTGGGGTCTGTCTATGTTTTATGTCTGTGTGGTATGTCTGTGTGTTCTGACTGTGTGTTCTGTCTGTGTGGGCAGTCGGTGTGGTCAGTGTGTTTGGTCTGTCTGTGTGGTCTGTCTGTCTGTTTGGTCTGTCTAAGTGGTTTTTCTGAGTTGTCTGTCTGAGTTGCCTGTCTGTACCTATAAGTAATAACACGCGCCATGTTTAACGGAACAGTTATCAAGTAGGTTTCTAGTTACTCAACATATAACTTGTGAACACAAAGCTCTGGCCACTGATCGTGCAGACAAACCTTGTGAGCAGAAGCTCTGGCCACTGATCGTGCTAGCAAACCTTGTGAATACAAAGCTCTGACCTCTGATCGTGCAGACAAACCTTGTAAACACAAAGCTCTGGCCACTGATCGTGCAGACAAACCTTGTAAACACAAAGCTCTGACCACTGATCGTGCAGACAAACCTTGTGAACACAAAGCTCTGACCATTGATCGTGCAGACAAACCTTGTAAACACAAAGCTCTGGCCACTGATCGTGCAGACAAACCTTGTGAACACAAAGCTCTGGCCACTGATCGTGCAGACAAACCTTGTGAACATGAAGCTCTTGCCACTGATCGTGCAGACAAACCTTGTGAACACAAAGCTCTGGCCTCTGATCGTGCAGACAAACCTTGTGAACACAAAGCTCTTGCCACTGATCGTGCAGACAAACCTTGTGAACATGAAGCTCTGGCCTCTGATCGTGCAGACAAACCTTGTGAACATGAAGCTCTGGCCACTGATCGTGCAGACAAACCTTGTGAACACAAAGCTCTTGCCACTGATCGTGCAGACAAACCTTGTGAACACAAAGCTCTGACCACTGATCGTGCAGACAAACCTTGTAAACACAAAGCTCTGACCACTGATCGTGCAGACAAACCTTGTAAACACAAAGCTCTGACCACTGATCGTGCAGACAAACCTTGTGAACACAAAGCACTTTTTTCCTGTTATTTCAAACTGGCAGAATATGGGTGTATGTTGATATGTGTTATTTAGTGAAGATGTTCTCTAACGCACCAACAACCTGGTATCTTTCTCTCCAGCACACGCGTACCCCTGGGGCGACAAATGGGAGCGACGGCGGGCAAACGTATGGCAGGTAGGAGCGTCCGTTATATTGTCTTGTATCCGTGTCAAACAAAGCAATATTGTCTTGTATCATTGTCAACCAACATATTGTGGTCTTGTCTCATTGTCAACCAAAGCTATATTGTCTTGTATCATTGTCAACCAAAATTATGTTGACACGTATCATTGTCAACCAAAGCTATATTGTCTTGTATCATTGTCAACCAAAATTATGTTGACACGTATCATTGTCAACCAAAGCTATATTGTCTTGTATCATTGTCAACCAAAATTATGTTGACACGTATCATTGTCAACCAAAGCTATATTGTCTTGTATCATTGTCAACCAAAATTATGTTGACACGTATCATTGTCAACCAACATTATATTGTCTTGTATCATTGTCAACCAACATTATATTGTCTTGTATCATTGTCAACCAACATTATATTGTCTTGTATCATTGTCAATTAAAGTTATGTTGTCTTGAATCAATTTTATTCATAAAAAAGTTGTTGATGATGTCACACGGTTAAAGAAATTAGCTGCGTATCCTTTACATTTTTTTTTCTGTTGTGGTTTTTCTAGGCAAATTACAGGTTCAGTAGTTTGCGATTGTCCGCTGAGCGGTCAGCTGTCGGTACCGCGGTCGAAATCGATGCAAGACAAACCGTCCGCAGCAGGGCTCGAACACGGCATCCCGACATTACGAAGCGCGTTCGCAACGCCTAAGCCACAGACGCTGTATCGATACTGTAACTGCGTATGGATGTTGTAACAATGTGTAAATGATGTAACACTGTATGCCTGATGTAACACAGCATGCCTGATGTAACAGTGTGTTGTTAATGTTACATTTTGTATGATGTAACAGTGTATGGTTAATGTTACATTTTGTATGATGTAACAGTGTATGGAATATGCAACAGAGTGTAAATAATGTAACATTTTATGGTTGATGTAAGACGGTGGATGATAATGTAACACTGTATGGATGATGTAACACTGTATGGATGATGATGTAACACTGTATGGATGATGATGTAACACTGAATGGATGGTGTAACATTGTATGGATGATGTAACACTGTATTGATAATGTAACACTGTATGGATGATGTAACACTGTATGGATGATGTAACACTGCATGGATGATGATGTAACACTGTGTGGATGATGATGTTACACTGTATGGATGATGTAACACTGTATGGATGATGATGTAACACTGTATGGATGATGATGTAACACTGAATGGATGGTGTAACACTTTATGGATGATGATGTAACACTGTATGGATTGTGTAACACTGTATGGATGGTGTAACACTGTATGGGTGATGTAATACTGTATGGATGATGTAACACTGTATTGATGGTGTAATTCAATATAGATGATGTAACTGTATGGATGATTTAACAATGTATAAAAATATAACACTATATGGATGATATTACAGTGTATGGATGATGTTACTGTGTATTGATGATGTTACAGTGTATGGATGATGTAACTGTAAGGATGCTGTAACAATATATGGAACATATAACACTATATGGATGGTGTTACTCTGTATGGATGATGTAATAGTATATGGATGATGTAACTGTACGGATGATGTAACAGTGTATAGAATATATAACACTGTATGAATGATGTAACTATGTATGGATGATGTTACAGTGCTTGGATGATGTAACTATGTATGGATGATGTTAGTGCTTGGATGATGTAATTTTACCGATGATGTAACATTGTATGGAATGTGTAACACTTTATGGATGATGTTACTCTGGATGAATGATGTTACAGTGTGTGGATGGGAATAATATATGGATGATGTAGCAATCTTTAGATGATACACCAGTGTGTGAATGATGTAACACTTTATGAATGATGTACCTGTGTATGGATGATATAACAATCCATGGATGCTAGTGCATGGTATGGACAATGTAACACTCTATAGATGGTGTAACACTGTATGGGTGAGTAACTGTATGTGGAAAATCTAAGAATTTGTGGATGATACAGCAGGGTATGGATGATGTAGCTGTGTATGGATAATTTAACACTGTATGGATAACGTAAAATTCGATGCCGATATTTGCAGGGAAAATGGCCAACAGAAAACAAAAAAGTGGATGGATACAGTATTACATCTCCTGTAGACGCTTATGTTCCACAGAACTTGGCCGGTAAGTGCTGAGTATGATCCTGTAGTATCGTGGTTGGCTAATTCAACAGTCAGTTAGTTAGTTATTCAGTCAGTAAATCAACTAGTTAGTTATTTAGTCATTTAGTTAGTCCAATAATTAGTCAGTCAGTTAGTTATCCAGTCAGTTAGTAAGTCAGCTAGTTAATTAGTCAGTCAGTCAGTCAGTCATTCAGTCAGTCAGTAAGTTAGTCATTCATTCAGTTACAGGGTTAGTTAGTTAGGTAATTAGTCAGTCATTCAGTTGGTTAATTAGTCGATCAGTTATTCAGTTAGTTAATTAGTCAGTCAGTTAGTCAGTCAGTCAGTTAGTTAGTGTGTTAGTCAGTTGTTTAGTTAGATAATCAGTTAGTTAGTTATTCAGTTTGGCACTTAATTAGTTAGTGAGTTAGTTAAAAAGTTAGCGTCAGTCAGTCAGTTAGCTAACTGGTAGTCAATTAGTTCGTTTTTCGGTTACCTAGTTAGTCAGTCAGTCAGTCAGCTAGTTAGTTAGTTAGTTAAGTAGTTAGTTAGATAGTTTGTTAGTTCATTAATTAGTTAGTTTTTTAGCTAGTTTACCAGTTTATCTTTATTGCACATGGAACCAATTAACCCATAAGTGCTCCGATCCCCTCCTCAGTAAGTCTCTCAGCGTGTAGCGGCTCACGACACCAGTCCTGTGTTTGGTTCATTATTCTTCTTTGGCTTCCTGCATAGCATTCTTGTTTGGGCACACCCTCCCTTTAACATGTTGTTCTTGTGGACCGGTCATGGTTGCAGATTCACAGTCCTCACTTGGTTTTCGCAAAAGACTCGTAGAAATTCAGCATTTCAGCATGGTTCATGACTCGTCCGCTTGTCACAGCAGCCAGCAAGCCGATCAGCTTGCTCATTTCCTTGCACACCTGTATGCCCTGGCGCGAAAATGTTACTGATGTTCCTCAGCCCCAACCGGTCCAGGGTCTGCAACTGCTGTCTTTAGATCCAGCCTTCTCTTTGTTGCCAGGCATGCTCACTGAGTCGCTGAGAAAACATGCGCGAATACGGGTGCAGGCGACCATAGGGACCTGTGCCGATAAGGGATGTTCAATACATGAATTCTGCAGGTATTTTCTCTCACAATTTAACATTACAGTTACAAACTGTGTGCCCTCTCCACAATGACGGTTGGCTACCTGTGTTTCTACTGCTGTCTTTGAGAGTAAAACGTGATGTGGCCCCTATGTCTTTCACGGCATGATTCTCGTACCACTGTCTGCAAGTCTCAAGAAGGGCTAGTTTGTGTTTAATAAACTGTCCGACTCGGAAATCGAGCCCTGGTAAGTGGAGGATAGTGAAATTGTGAAACACATTCTGACGTAGATCCAAAATCCAGGACTTCACAACCATGCTTCTGTACTATTTGACATCTTCATTTTGTTGCATCTTCTAGGCTTCTACGACATGATTGGCAACGTGTGGGAGTGGACGAGCAGTCTCTACTTGGAGCGTTCAGTTCAGCCGGTGCCGCAAGCTTCCATGGCGGTGCTAAAGGGTGGATCTTATGTGGACTCGGTCAGCGGTGAGGTCAATTATGTCGTCAGAAACGGGCAGAGGTGAGAGTGCTTATGCTGCCTGCTGTGTCTTTACTGTAGTATGAGAATGTTAACATTGGCTGTAGTATGAGAATGTTAACATTGACTGTAGTATGAGAATGTTAACATTGACTGTAGTATGGGAATGTTAACATTGACATATGAGAATGTTAACATTGGCTGTAGTATGAGAATGTTAACATTGACTGCAGTATGAGAATGTTAACATTGACTGTAGCATGGAAATGTTAACATTGACTTTAGTATGATAATGTTAACATTGACTGTAGTATGAGAATGTTAACATTGACTGTAGTATTAGAATGTTAACATTGACTGTAGTATGAGAATGTTAACATTGACTGTAGTATGAGAATGTTAACATTGACTGTAGTATGAGAATGTTAACATTGACTGTAGTATAAGAATTTTGAACTTTTGGCGGACAGTTTTGCATTTGGTTGTAGACAGTTAATCTATAGACAGTTGAGCAATAGGTACAGTTGTTATTATATATAATAAATTTATAGAGAGTTCAGCAAAAGGTAATACAAGTTATATATATTGGAAACTTGAAAACACTAAAGAAAAAAGACGAATGGGTTTTTGAATACAGGAGTTTTTTTAGAAGCGAGGCTTGTATACCCTGAAGACATAGACGGTTGGGTTTTCAATATCAAAGTTTTATAGAAATAAATCTGATATAGATTGAAGAAATAGACGGTTGGGTTTTTAATATCAAAGTTTTATAGAAATAAATCCGATTTGGATTAAAGAAAAAGACGGTTGGGTTTTTAATATCAAAGTTTTATAGAAATAAATCTGATATAGATTGAAGAAATAGACGGTTGGGTTTTTAATATCAAAGTTTTATAGAAATAAATTTGAAATAGATTGCAGAAATAGACGTCTGGTTTAGTGTCGGGGGTCGAGATGCGAGTACAACGTCAGAGCACGTGTTTACAAGGTCAGAGCACGTGTGTACAAGGTCAGAGCACGTGTGTACAAGGTCAGAGCACGTGTGCACAAGGTCAGAGCACGTGTGCACAAGGTCAGAACACTTGTGCACAAGATCAGAGCACGTGTGTACAAGTTCAGAGCACTTGTGCACAAGGTCGTCTCTGACATACTTTCGCCTCTGTGGCAGTCAGTTAGGTTTTCCCCTCAATCCCTGATCTTCCCTTCGCCTCTCATTCCCTGATCTTCCCTTCGCCTCTCATTCCCTGATCTTCCCTTCGCCTCTCATTCCCTGATCTTCCCTTCACCTCTCATTTCCTGATATTCCCTTCGCCTCTCATTCCTTGATATTCCCTTCGCCTCTCATTCCCTGATCTTCCCTTCGCCTCTCCTTCCACGGTCTTCCCTTCGCCTCTCATTCCCTGATCTTCCCTTCGCCTCCCATTCCATGATCTTCCCTTCGCCTCTCATTCCATGATCTTTCCTTCGCCTCTCATTCCATGATCTTCCCTTCGCCTCTCATTACTGATCTTCCCTTCGCCTCTCATTCCATGATCTTCCCTTCGCCTCTCATTCCCTGATCTTGCCTTCGCCTCTCATTCCCTGATCTTCCCTTCGCCTCTCATTCCCTGATATTTCCTTCGCCTCTCATTCCCTGATATTCCCTTCGCCTCTCATTTCCTGATATTCCCTTCGCCTCTCATTCCTTGATATTCCCTTCGCCTCTCATTCCCTGGTTTTCCCTTCGCCTCTTCTTCCATGATCTTCCCTTCGCCTCTCATTCCCTGATCTTCCCTTCGCCTCTCATTCCATGATCTTCCCTTCGCCTCTCATTCCATGATCTTCCCTTCGCCTCTCATTCCATGATCTTCCCTTCGCCTCTCATTCCCTGATCTTCCCTTCGCCTCTCATTTCCTGATATTCCCTTCGCCTCTCTTTCCTTGATATTCCCTTCGCCTCTCATTCCCTGGTCTTCCCTTCGCCTCTCCTTCCATGATCTTCCCTTCGCCTTTCATTCCCTGATCTTCCCTTTGCCTCTCACTCCCTGATCTTCCCTTCGCCTCTTATTCCCTGATCTTCCCTTCGCCTCTCATTCCCTGATCTTCCCTTCGCCTCTCATTCCCTGATCTTCCCTTCGCTTCTCACTCCCTGATCTTCCCTTCGCCTCTCACTCCCTGATCTTCCCTTCGCCCCTCATTCCCTGTCTCATCTCTTGATCACAGACTCCACAACAACAGGCTAACTCATCTCTTGATCACAGACTCCACAACAACGGGCTGTCTCATCTGTTGATCACAGACTCCACAACAACGGGCTATCTCATCTCTTGATCACAGAATCCACAACAACGGGCTGTCTCATCTCTTGATCACAGACTCCACAACAACGGGCTATCTCATCTCTTGATCGCAGACTAAACAACAACAGGCTATCTCATCTCTTGACCACAGACTTCACAACAACGGGCTGTCTCATCTCTTGATCACAGACTCCACAACAACGGGCTATCTCTTCTTTTGATCACAGACTCCACAACAACAGGCTGTCTCTTCTTTTGATCACAGACTCCACAACAACAGGCTATCTCTTCTTTTGATCACAGACTCCACAACAACAGGCTGTCTCTTCTTTTGATCACAGACTTCACAACAACAGGCTATCTCTTCTTTTGATCACAGACTCCACAACAACGGGCTGTCTCATCTCTTGATCACAGACTCCACAACAACAGGTCATCTCAGGACACTTTCAAGTTGTCGAGAATAACAAACAGCGACATCGTTTTTTCAACATCATCCAGTTCCTTCTTCTTCTAGGTATGTGATGGTCTCACAATCGTCTAGTAACATGTCAGTTCACAAGCGTCTCTACTCAAATGGGAATGAGGGAACAAATAAAGTAACATTAAATACAAATGAATATAATGAAAAGATCAATTTTAAAATTGAAATGAAATAATATTGGGGCTATCACACAACAAGTTATTGTCCTGCTTTTTTTTTTTTTTTATAACAGAATGGGCCAAAAACAGGATTACACAGCTGGTCACGTGGGCTTCCGGTGTGCTAAAGACTTTCAGACAGTTACGCTGAAAAAGACAACGCCGCCGCCTCCGCCCAGTAAACCAAAGATAAGGCGCCGTTTCCACAGGAAAATGAGGGACGAGCTCTAGGGGCGCCACCCAGTTACTTATTTTGTGACACCACGACTCAATATACTTTCATTTGCTAAAAAATATTAAATTGATGTGTTTTCTCCCTTCGGCTGCGTCAAAAATCTGCTTTATTAATCGTGTTATACTAACTTTCTGTGTCCTAGTGCTACCATTTCAAGTACACATGTCTTACGGTGTTTGGATTTGAATTACACATGTCTTAAGGTGTTGGGATTTGAATTACACATGTCTTACGGTGTTGGGACTTGAATTACACATGTCTTACGGTGTTGGGACTTGAATTACACATATCTTACGGTGTTGGGATTTGAATTACACATGTCTTACGGTGTTGGGATTTGAATAACACATGTCTTACGGTGTTGGGACTTGAATTACACATGTCTTACGGTGTTGGGATTTGAATAACACATGTGCTACGGAGTTTCAATTTTAGGTATTTGTGTCTTAGGGTGTTCCGATTATTTTAATAATTGACTGTTTGGATAATTGGCTGTTCGGATAATTTACTGTTTGGATAATTAGCTGTTTGGATACTTGGCTGTTTGGAAGATTTGTACTTATCTGAATGATTGTTGGCTGTTTACCTACTTTATGGTTTGGGATGATTGCCTGTCAAAGTTATTTCTACAGAAGGATTGTTGCAGAACTTGTTTTCTCCTCACCGAGCTTAGAAATTAGCGTCCTTTGCCGAACTGGAACACTGGTGCACGTTGTGTGGTCAACGATGTCTTGTGTGGACCAGGATGTCTTGTGTGGTCAACGATGTCTTGTGTGGACAACGATGTCTTGTGTGGACCAGGATGTCTTGTGTGGACCAGGATGTCTTGTGTGGTCAACGATGTCTTGTGTAGTCAACGAATTCTTGTGTGGTCAACGATGTCTTGTGTGGTCAACGATTTCTTGTGGAGTCAACGATGTTTTGTGTGGTCAACGATGTCTTGTGGAGTCAACGATGTCTTGTGTGATCAACGATGTCTTGTGTGGTCAACGATGTCTTGTGCAGACAACGATGTCTTGTGTGGTCAACGATGTCTTGTGTGGTCAACGATGTCTTGTGTAGACAACGATGTCTTGTATGGTCAACGATGTCTTGTGGAGTCAACGATTTCTTGTTTAGGCCAGGATGTCTTGTGTGGACAACAATGTCATGTGTAGGCCAGGATGTCTTGTGTAGACAACAATGTCTTGTGTAGGCCAGGATGTCTTGTGTGGACAACAATGTCTTGTGTAGGCCAGGATGTCTTGAGTGGACAACGATGTCTTGTGTAGGCCAGGATGTCTTGTGTGGACAACGATGTCTCGTGTGGACAACAATGTCTTGTGTGAACAACAATGTCTTGTGTAGGCCAGGATGTCTTGTGTGGACCTGGATGTCTTGTGTGGACCTAGATGTTTTGTGTGGACCTAGATGTCTTGTGTGGACCTGGATGTCTTGTGTAGGCCAGGATGTATTGTGTGGACCAGGATGTCTCATGTGGACCTAGATGTCTTGTTTGGACCTAGATGTCTTGTGTAGGCTAGGATTTCTTGTGTGGACTTAGATGTCTTGTGTGGACCTGGATGTCTTGTGTGGGCCAGGATGTCTTGTGTGGACCTGGGTATCTTGTGTAGGCCATGATGTCTTGTGTGGACCTGGATGTTTTGTGTGGGCCAGGATGTCTTGTGTCGACCAGGATGTCGGTTTAGGTACCAGTGATGCTTTTACTAGTTAGAGCTCTGCAGACCTGGGTTGCCAAGGGAGAGAATCTTTTAGTGATGACTTTGTATGTCTGCAGGCCTGTGTGGGTAATGGATGTAATTTAAAGCTTCAGTAGCTGAAGCATCGTATACACCTATGTGGGTAAGGATATACAAGGATTTACGTTGCTAAAGATTTTTTTGTTTTTCATATGCTCTATGAGGTTGCAGCCTGACTCAAAGAGCCACTTTTATAATGCGAAAACTTCTTCTTCTTACTCTATGTCGTGTGGCGTTGGTGGTCATGTCTATCCACTGAACACAATCCAAAACCAAATGAGATCGAGACCAGAAAACGTCACCACAAATATAGCTGAAAGGAAAGTGAGCAGAAATGTGAGCGGACCTAGCTGAAAGTGGTCAACGAAAGAGAATTTGAATTTGAAATGTCTATCCACAACCTTCTGTCTCGTAAACTTTTATTCAACTCTGATACAGACGATCTTCCATGTTATGATGTCAAACTGTCCAGCATCTGTTCTCTCGGTCTCCCTTTGTCTCTCCTCCCCTCCAACTTTTCTACCGTCACGATGTACTCCAGTTTTCTCCTTCTCATCACATGAACAACGAATGTAGATTAGATTGTCTCTTTCTGACCTGGGCAATCAGTTCTCTTCGTGAGTCAGCTTCTTTCGAGACATCTTCATTACTCTTGGTATCTGTCAAGCTTATTCTCATCATTCGTCTAAATAACCACATCTTCGCAGCTTCCAAATAACTGTTCACTAATTTACCAACTGTCCATGATTCACCTCCGTATACCAATACAGGATTTATATAACTGTTAACAATTCTCTTTCTCCTCTCAGTTGACAAAGAAAAATTGCATAACATATTCTTCATTTTGTAAAATGCTGCCTTTGATTGAGCCAATCGACATTTAACTTCCTGAATACATCTACAAATAATAAAGAATATGCACTGGCAGCAAACAACAGCTGTAAGAAATGACAACTGTTTAGGTACATTACAAAGCATAAAGAGGGACGTACGACAAGGATGTGTACTGTCACCTGATTTATTTTCACTATCCAGTGAATATATAATATGCCCGGAATTGTGGTTGGTGGGCACAATATAAACAATTTACTTTATGCTGATGACACAGTCTTGATAACAAGTCAGAAAAAGCTTCCGGAAATGATAGACTTTGTGGTATTAGAAAGTGGAAGAATGGGCCTCAGTTTGAATGATCGGAGAGAGAAGTAAAGAAAATAATTATTCCTAAGTGTGTAATAAAAGTCATTGGTGTTATTTTGGGACAAGTACAACACATTTAGCTATCTTGAGACATGGATAACATCAGATGGAAGGTGCAATAATGAGATAAGAAACAGAATAGGACAGGCGAAAACTGCATTTTATAAAAATAAAGAACATCTCTGTCATTAAAGGTTAGAAATAATTTTTGCTTGCTACATACGTGCAGTTTTAACATATGGCTGTGAGTCCTGGACAATCGGTAGGCAGGCCAAACAATTTCTTGAGGCCTCGGAGATGTAGTTTTACAGAAGAATGCTTAGAATACCTTGGTCAGCCAAAAAGAGCAACCAAGAGGTTTTGAAAGAGCCCAAAGACTTTTCACAGACATCAGAAGGAGACAGTCATCATTTTTCAGTCATGTTATGAGAAGAGGGAAAATAGAACATGTTGTGACCAGTGGAAAGATCTGTGGAAGGAGGGATAAAGGCAGACAACGAGAAAAGATGCTTGACAGTCTTGTTGCATGGCATGTATTTGTGTCAGCACACGAACTAATACATGCTGCAGGAGGTCGCAGATTGTGGAGAGGCATGATCACCTACGCCAGTGGGCAAGACACCTGATGATGATGAATACATCTTCCATCTGATGTTATCAGGGTACCCAAGTACTTAAACATATCAACTACTTGAGGTATGTCCCATTTACTTCGATGTTGCATTTTTGGAGCGTCGGTTTTCTTTGTAATTACCATCATTTCTGTTTTTCTACCGTTCAAACTAAGACTCCTTGTTTTCACTTTCCATGACTATTATATCCATTATTTCTGGCAGTTGTGTATCATTTTCAGCGATCAAGACTCTATCATCAGCATATTGCAAGTTGTTAAACAATACGCCCACCAACCGCTATTCCTGGCATACCAAGTATTGATCTAATTATTATTTCACCGTACAAATTAAATCAATCAGGTGATAGTGCCCATCTCTGTCTAACAACTTGTTTCATGTTTTGAAAAGTTCCAACTTGGTTGTCAATCCTTACGGCTGCTTCTTGTTACCAGCGTATGTTTTTTTTTTTTATTTCTTTTTAATTATTCTCAGAGATTTACCATCGATGATTAAGGCTTAAAAATTCTAAATCTTTTTTAGTGTTTCAATTTATCAAATGCTTAAGTGTAATCAATAAAGCACAAATACAGATCTCTATTCATCTCAATCATTCTTTCTGAAAGTGCTCTCAAAATAAGTATAGCGTTGTTTGTGCCTATGCCTTAACAAAACCACACTGATCTTCTCCAATTTCTGGTTTTATTCAAACCTGTAAACTTTTTTCAGGGCCTCCCAAAATGTCACATATTTGCTCCTTCATTATGATTTTAATGACGCCTCGATATCTTCACTTTGTCTTTATTTTTCATTTAGTTCTGGAATGCAAGGACTGAGAAAGATTGTGACAACAAAATTTACAGAGTACCTGTTATATCTGAAACATGATATGGCCCTAGAAACACAACCCTAATTTTTTAAGGGTATCAGATACTTAGATTCTCTGCCTCAACAAAGCGGAAATCGAATACATCAGATTGTATATTCTGCATTGCTACTCAGCATGATTAAATTACTTCCCCTGAGATGATCTAGCTGTTCCCGGCACGTATGTCTGAACCCAATAACCTTGTTCTGAAAGCTAGCTGCCGTTTCCGATAAATATGTTTTATGTGAAACAAGGTTTTGCAAGAATGGCGATGCAATTTAATTATGTTGGTTACCTGTAAACATTAAGCAGTTTGTCTTAATTTAAACATTTCTGCTTCATCTTTGCAAAAAAGGGAGACAAGTCTTGTCCCGGTGCCCGGATAACACAGAGACCGTAAAGTTAGAGAACGATTGTGTTTTGCCATTGTCAATTCTGAAAATTAATCGTCGCGGTCTGGAATGGTGAAGTTTTTTGGAGTTGTTTTTCAGAGTGTCCAAGTTATCCGCCTTCAGCACTGCAACGTGATTGCCACTCCCTGTCTGGGCTGCTACCTATATGTTTGGTTTGACGACGAA